CCGTCTTTCCACCTGACTTTAAACCGTTCAGGCTGGTCACAATGTAATATTTTAATAAAATAAAATAGACAAGTTAAACTTAACAACTAAAATATAGCAATAAAATTAAGTCTAAGTTAATGATCTTCAATATATGTAAGTCAAGAAGATATCAAATTTGTGAGTAATTTGTTCAGCACTTTTTGTAGTAACGAATGCGAAATTCTTCAGACTGAAAGAGGTTTCCCGGGCTTTGATTCTTGCATACTTGTTGTGTATGTACTTGTGTCAGTAAACACATTATTAAGTAGTTATAAAAGAGTATTACAAGTTATAAAATTTTTATAAAAAGTATTTATTGCGAAGAATATTATTGGTATTGTACCTTATGTGGTGTTATTAACATACTTAAAAAACAAAATGTGAAATAACTCTTTTCGAACAACTTTGTAAGAGTATTATGTATTATACATATACATACAAGTATATATATATATATATATATATGTATATATACATATGAAAACAGGAGTTTCTGAGGTCAATTAAATTATTTACTACTGCTACAACACTATTGAAAAGTTTTTATGGAGAGTCCAATTTGTCGAGAACTCAAGTATTTCTGTTTTTCAAAGCATTCAGTGAGATTATTTTAAGCTGTTTACATCCTTTCAACCCAAGGAGCCAAATTTAATATTTCGTAGGTTTAGATTAACATACCATAAATTATTTAAAAAATGAGCTAAAAATCGGAAAGCACTATATCGGATATATTGCGGCTAGAGGAAGGTCTGAACTGATTGTATTAACTTTTGACATTAGTCAAGTATACTCATAAATATGGTCATTACATGTAGCATATGGGAGCTGGGGCAATTCGTGGACCGATTTCACACATTTTCGGCAATAAACTGTATTGTATCCAACATTATACGTTCACTTAATTTTCTTAAGATTTCCTACATATTGACTGACATATACGGTATAAAGAAAACCGAAAGTTTGAAGTTCGTATATTAGGTATATGAGGGCTACGACATATTATTACCATAATCACATATTATGTTATATGAGGGCTAGGGGAAGTATAGACCCGGTTTTGAAAATTTTTGTTCAAATTACAGGTTACTATCAGAAAAAAACGCTCTCTGGATTTCATTAAGATAACTCATATGTGAACTGACATATACGGTATAAAGACATAGGCTCTGAGGTTTACATATTCGGCAGCTGGCAGCTTCAAAAATCATAGTTCGACTTCGGTACGAGATGGCATATCTTGTAGACGTATTTAAGCAAAATTTAAAACTAACTATCCACCAAATTTAGTTGATATGTATCAAGACTTCCTGAGTTATGAAACTTCATATAAAGGTTTTTACATTAAGTTCTGTGCACGCTTCCGTGTTATCTGGAGTTGTCGCACTTTAACATAGGTTGTTTTCAAAATAACCTTTGTATATGTTAGGGAGTAAGCGTCCGAATTCATCTATTTTCACGCTGTATAAATGTTATATGTATACCTTAAAATAATTAATTAAAGCTCAACTTTTTTTGAATGAACAACGAAAGAATACTTTTAAAACAAAACAAGAATATTTTACAGAAATCTATGATTTTTCCTTAGAGGGCGTTTTCAATTGATATTGGTGTTTTAATTCTTTTTCCAATTTACTAATTTTAATGATTATTTGGTGATCGTCGATAGTTGTAATTCGCGGTTTCTTAAGCTTAAGTATTGGGCTCGTATCGGTCTCTACGCTAACATATTTTATGACTTCATACACAATTTTTTAAGTTCAAACTATACTTTCTAAAATTTTCAATTGATTTTCTTTCACTTTCTTATTATAATTCCTTTTTCATTTATATTTGCAATAACGATTTTATCGGAAATAATAATCTGAAGGCAAATAATTATACATTTTCTTAGGCTTGTAGAATACTCTACACTTCATCTGTCACATGTATCCACAAATTTTTCTAAATATACGTAAAGAAATGTTATAATATTTACACACAAGGACGCATATCTCTGGTAAATATTCGAAATTAATGATAGTAAATAAATATTACCTTATGCGTAGACTTGTTTATCGCACACACACATGCGATCGCATCGATTAATAAGTTTATGAACGATTATGTATGGATTCGAAATGATTTATCAGCTTTGAGCTCAAATAAACGACTAGTACCAAGATAACAATTTTATAACTCAGATTATAACACTCACTGATTATACCAGGATTTACAAACAATTTTAATAACGTCGTAGCGTGGTATCATGTATGTATGTCTATTGTTACACAAATACACTAGCATTTAAAAGTTTCCGGTTTACAACCAATCAGTTATCTATTTTATTTCGGTAAGAAACCAATATTTAATGAAATATTTTGTAAAACGCCAGAGCTCCATATCAAAGAAGAAAATATCACTTAAACATAATTCGGGCGTTAGAGACCATAGCAAATGCAAAATCCAGTTATTCACTGCAATTAGATTTTTATACTCTCGCAACCTGTTGCTACAGAGTATAATAGTTTTGTTCACCTAACGGTTGTTTGTATCACCTAAAACTAATCGAGTTAGATATAGGGTTATATATATATAAATGATCAGGATGAAGAGACGAGTTGAAATCCGGGTGACTGTCTGTCCGTCCGTCCGTCCGTCCGTGCAAGCTCTAACTTGAGTAAAAATTGAGATATCTTTATGAAACTTGGTAGACATGTTTCTTGGTACCGTGAGACGGTTGGTATTGCAGATGGGCGTAATCGGACCACTGCCACGCCCACAAAACGCCATTAATCAAAAACAAATAACTTGCCATAACTAAGCTCCGCAATAAGATACAAGACTGTTATTTGGTACACAGGATCACATTAGGGAGGGGCATCTGCAGTTAAAACTTTTTTTAAAAAGTGGGCGTGGTCCCGCCTCTAATAGGTTTAATGTGCATATCTCCTAAACCGCTAATGCTATAATAACAAAATTCACTAGAAGCAAATGTTTTTAGCACTTCTATTGGCGGTATGGAAATAGTTGAAATCGGGTGGCAACTCCGCCCACTCCCCATATAACGGTACTGTTAAAAACTACTAAAAGCGCGATGAATCAAGCACTAAACACGCCAGAGACATTAAATTTTATCTCTGAGATGGTATAAATTGGCTTTATAGGAACCGCGTTCAAAATTAGTCAGTGGGCGTGGCACAGCCCACTTTTAGGTGAAAACCCATATCTTGAGATCTGCTCAACCGATTTCAACCAAATTCGGTGCATAACGTTCTTTTCATGTTTCTATGTCATAGTGCGAAAATGGGCGAAAACGGACTACAACCACGCTTACTTCCCATGTAACACCATTTTCAATTCCATCTGATTCTTTCACTTTCCACTATGCAAATCAGGTAACAATGATTATATCGGGGTAAAACTTTGCGTGAATAATGCAATTAAAGTATGCCACCTTGCGGCCAAAAATTGTCTAAATCGAACCAAAACTGTTCAAACCCCTAAGTACTAAATATGTGGACCCCAGTGCCTATAGTTGACCTTCTACCGAAAATATCAGTCAATCCACAAAGAAATCTCAAACGAGTATACCATTTGACTTTGCGAGAGTATAAAATGTTCGGTTACATCCGAACTTAGCCCTTCCTTACTTGTTTGTAATTCTAATTTTCCAAAATGTGAGTGCCCTGTGCTCACTTTGAATATTGAAACAGCTGATATAAGCACTATTCGTAGATTGTTGTTTGCAAATTTAAACATTGAATTTTAGTTGTTACGTATGTATTTTAAACCAGTGAAAGAAGCAACTGCTGGTAGAAAAGAAGCCAAACAAGAAATACCCTTCACAGGTGCATTGTCAAGAAGGTATCTTGTCAAACATAAAAGAACTTCCATTTTTATGTATTTTGAAACGTTAAAAGTACTAGTATGTATGTATGGTATATGGACATGTTTTTGAACATCATTTTTGTATAAATATGTACTATGTGCTTAATACTAAGCCTGTCAACGTTAAAGTACGTACATATGTATGTATTGTATATGGTAAACATACATATATCACCCAGAATAACCACTAACATTATTTTGTTTAAAGTTCAAACACATACACACGTATGTATATAAAACGTAAAGCTTGTTAACTGTATACATATGTTACAGTACGCAGTTTTTTTTTTTTATTCTGAATAATGTATTTATCATGTCGTAAATTTTAAAAAAAAATTGCGAATGTTTAAGTTGTATCTATTTGAAACACTTCTTTGTTGCGTATATATATTTATTTAGCAACTTTCGATAAATAAGTTCAGCGCTCTAGCATTTTATCTTAACCGGAGACTTTCATATTGTATGTATGTACATATGTATATAAATATTTCTATTAAAGGGATAGATTGATAGCAACGAATAGATAAACAACAACTTCTGGTTTCTGAAAATAATAAAAAAAAAGTAAAGGTGAATGAAAAACCAAGTAAGGTGAGGCTAAGTTCGGGGGATCCTAAACAATAGGGTATATGCAGACCGTAATAATTTGTATAATTAAAAAAGTGTGAAATATTTCGATACGACTGCAAAAGTTTATTATCAAGCGTGAATAATTCAATATTTATTAATAGGTGACTCATATTATACTAACGTAATATTCTCGCTTATTGTTATGGGGATATCTCACATATCGAAAATAGTGTAAAGTTTCTTGTAATAAATTATTTCTAATCATCTCGCTAATAGATATTTATATACATATATATGTATGTATTTAGTTTTGGTTCGTTATAAATATCAAACATATATTTGTACTATTACATTAAAAAAAGATATTGAAGTTTACCTAGATTTGGTAATTTAAAGTTTAACTAGCTAGATACCTATTATATTACCTAACGGAAATCATTTAAAAGCCATATTTCAGATTCCGTTTCCGATATAGAGATACTGCTTGCATACATGCATGCGAACACGATTACTTATTAACTTATGTATGCAAATAGACGTACCGTATTTACAAATTCTGCTATATTTGAAGATATCAGATAATTTCCTTCACACCAATCCACAGGAGAACTGCCATGTTCCCAGGCCATGATGTAAATATCAAGAAAAGAGCTTTGCGAAGCCAATTTGGCGGTATATTTAAATACAAAATATTAATTGTATAGTATTTTATTAAACGAATATTTTACACTTTTAAAGCAGTATTTACTTAATTTTTATTTTATTTGAATTATTAGTATGCTATTTTTTAAAACCCGAATACAATTAATGCAAACAATTATGGACAACTAGCTTATTTTCTAAAAGCGTTCTTGCTTGATCAGATAGCATACAAATAGAGTAGAATCGATTGCGTTTAGTTTTTTATCACTGGTTTTTATTATATAATGGTTAATAAGTTTTTTAAATAAACTATTTTTTAATTACACTTCATCCGTTTATATAGCGAAAGAAATTAAAACACGCAAGTTTATTATTTCCTATAATTGTCTATATGCGACTGCTTGTGTCGGGCGCTACAAAGGTGTTTTTACTAATTATATGCACATCGATGAAGACGCAAAACAAAAATACAAACTAAACACTGATAAACACCTTAACAGAGTACAAACGAATTTATTAAACTGTTCTCAAAACAAAATTTACTGTCAATTTCTGTTTTGACGTTTTCATTGCACGGGGTCATTGTTGCCAACCTTCTTTTGTGGTGGTTTTTTGTAAAATACATTAACATTTTCTCTAAAAGTTATCAATTTTTTTTTGTTACATTCAAAGCAAGTCATCTTTATTATTAATATAGGATGAATGTAGTTTATCTCTCTTCATCCTGTTTGTGCGCATGATATTTGTTTCTTATATTTAAAATGTTAATGAATTTAGTATTTGTTGTGAATGGGAAATTATAAAACTTCTTCTTTTTAACTGCTATGTTTCTTTTCACTTTGTACCATGAACACTTGTCAAAACTAAATTTTCTAAACTACCTGAAAAGTGACAATTTTATTTATTTTCGTTAACTTGCATCGTTTTTATACAAATTTGTACTTTATAAAAATGTCCTCGGCAATTTATTTAGAAAATTACCTCGATGGTATGTGAAGTGTAAAAACCTCTAAAAATATAACGTGCTTTTATTTGTCTTTTGGAGAGTTATGTCTAAACTTGATGTTTTGTACCTAGGATTAGAGTCATTGCCCACAGAGTTGGAACGAAACTTCAAACTTATGCGCAAATTAGACGATCGAGCACAAACTGCAATGAAAAGCATCGATTCGAGAGCGAAAGAGTTTATGCATAAGCTTGCCGCAAGTGGAGGCTGTTCTATGACAGATGAAGAACGCAAAGAGCGTCTTATGGACATACAAGCACTATTTGGCAAAGCAAAAGAATACAGTGATGATAAAGTACAATTGGCCATACAAACATATGAGTTGGTGGATAAACAAATTAGGCGTCTCGACAACGATTTAGCACGATTTGAGGGTGAAATACAGGAGAAAGCATCATCAACGCGCAGCAAATCAGAAGAAGCAGTAGTAAAAAGTAATAAAGACATATTTGTAAAAGAGGTTGTTGCTATTGTTACATGCATTTCAGAGGGGCGCAAAAAAACAAAGGACGCGAAAACGCCTGGAAAGCGTAAACGTACCGGGTCATCAGATGAGGAGACTCGTGCAAATAACACAAATGTTTCAACAAGTGGTAGTGGCGGTGGAGGTAGCGGAGGCGGGCAAGGTAGCAAAAAGAAAAGGGCGAAGGTAAATCAAGAAAAAGAAACTCGCAAGGGGGGTCAAAAGGTAATCATCAAAATCATTTTCATATTCTCATAAAAATGTAGTAACCCTTGATTGAATGTTAATTTTTGTTTACATACGTACGTTAAAGTAGTATGGTTAATTCTTGCTTAAATTTTTCTAATGTTTCTATACTTATTAAACGTGTTAAGTTATATCTATATAACATTATATAGACTCTCTTCAGTAGTTTACTGAGTAGTTTTTTAGTTAAGTGGTTAGGTGTAGTCAGAGACATTAAAAATTACAATTTTAAATAGTTTTGCCAGTAAATTATTTCATTTTATAAAAGTTAAGACATAGCATCATTAAATAAGGTTTCGACTTAACTTCGGCCTCAGGAAAATTTATTTCAGATTTAAAAAAAACACCAACAGTTCAAAAATCCAAATTAAAAACTCTTTCGATGAGGCCCCAGGTTTTTCATTTTTTCAAAGGCTGTATAAATTTCATTAAAATCTACCGAGCGGTTTTCAAGCTACAGTGTTCACCAGTTTCAAAAGCTTCTAGCTACCTTCTACCGTGCTAATCACCGATTTGTCGGATTTACTTTTCTCATAGAATATTTCTAAGGTATTATACTTTAAGAAAATATATTAAAATCGATTTTTTGAAAATTCTGACTACCCCTAACCTCTTAATGCAATATTAGCTTATATAAACCTTACAAACATAATATCTACATAATTATGTATATATACATACATATGTATGTAGACATTCCTTTTTGTAGCGAATTTATCATATATTAGGCATATAAAATATCCGCCTGACCGAGTATAATGTATGTATCAATAATTTACTTGTAATGATGTTTTCTTGTTTAAATTTTTCGCAATTAAACATATACACATCTATTTAAATCATCTTACATACATGCTTTCCATAAATATCAAATACATTTATATACATATATATATATGCATCTTAAGCTTTTTTACTTTGCATTTCACAAATTGCATACTTCCATTTTTGTTAAGAAAAAAATTCTAAATCTTTATGTTTTACTAATTGAAATATTTTTCAAAGAAAAATGCCGATATTGAGGACTCTGAGAAAGAGTCATGCTTGACGGCTGCAACACACCCAAGCGATGTGCTGGATATGCCAGTTGATCCTAACGAACCCACTTATTGCTTGTGCCACCAAGTGTCCTATGGCGAAATGATTGGCTGTGACAATCCGGATGTAAGTTTTAACATATCGAATTTCAATGACGTTTCCTCACCTTGCGTTGCTTTTTACATATTTTTTATTTTTATACTCTAGTGTCCAATTGAATGGTTCCACTTTGCCTGCGTAGGACTTACAACTAAACCCAAAGGAAAATGGTTTTGTCCGAAGTGTACACAAGACAGAAAAAAGAAATAAGATATTGAATTCATACATTTTTCACACAAATTCATACATAAGTACTGTATTATTTTAAGTAGGGTTGTATTTAGGGTTATGGAACTTTTTGTATCGTTAAAGTTAAAAAAAAATAAATAAAAAATAATTTCCGTTGCATTTAAGAAACCGATTTTTTTATTTTGTGCATTGAATTTATAAGAACTTAAAATGAATGTGAATAACATCGCTACAGGGAATTATAGGCAGTTTAAAGTTATGCATCAAATGTACTGTATTCATATATGTAGTACACCATGTCGTATGAGTTCCCACGGTGGTCGAATCCACGTAACCGAAACGGACCTGGATTTTTATTCGGTCAAGGACTGTCAACTCGGCAGAATTCTGCCGCTACAAAAACAACAACTGCAATACAGAATGTATAAATCACTTGTATGAATGGTCAGTGCAATTGATGTGTAACTTTAACTGCGTATAACTTTGAAAGAAATGTTTTTTATGGAAAAAAAGTAATAAGATTTTATTAGTGCGGAAAATGTTGTATTAGAAAATTTCCCAAAGTTGTAGGTATACTTGCTTAATGCACAATATCAAAAATCATCAACTTGGGTAATAACGGGCACCCTAATGTGCACATACAATATTCATATATAAAGCACGCATAATATATTAAATAACTGAAAACATCTTATTGTAGTCAAGTAAAAGACCGTTCATTTATAGGTAAATGCATTTTGTTTGTTTATTGTAACTTTGTATTAGAGGTGTTTTTTGTTTCATAAAATTGTAATAACACATGCATTTACATATGTGCATATATATGTACATACCTAGAAATAATAATAATTTTTACTAAATTTGACCGATTTATCTACGACTTATTTTCCAATGTTTGTTAGAATGTATTTTTTAAACTGAATAACGAAGCCTTTCGTCTGAATGAATTCCAAATACATACAGATACATATGTAGGTTGCCCGCTATGCGTATTTGTAAATTATTTGAAATTCTTCAACTTTGTGTAGTTTAGTTCCTCAGTGACATGCATACATTCATCTTAAACGAAATAGAATTTCTAAATTCGTTTATTGCACGAATATTTTACATTTTTTAATTTTAAATTTTAAATATACTTTTACATTATTATAGTTTGAATATGAATCACGGGAAATCCATTTGTTTACCAAACTTCTCTTAATAGCGAAACTTTCCAATCGATACCAGTTAATCTAGTTTCTTGCACTGGGGTTATCCGTAATAATTGTTATATAATATATGAAAACCGATTCGATTTTAACAGCATTATCACTTCCCGTTTCAAAAAATAAACATAATTTTCCTTTTTTCTTAACAAAAAGCACTATTGTGGGTATATAGATATAACCTTATTTTTCCTTTCCTGGTTCACGGGTGCGTAATATTTTTCTAAACCAGCTCGTCCTGGATTCGTTCGCCAAGTATTCGCTACTTTGTAAATGAAAGTTTGATATACTAAAAATGTGTTGCATTTCGAGTGACCGTTTGTATGAGTACTGCTTCGTTGCAAGATACATTTTACGTAAAAATTCAGGCATTTGTTTTTGAGTTACCCATGATTTAATATTTTGTGGGATTGGTAGACCTGGATCATCGAAATAAGTAAGTATGTAATGCACACCGGGCTCATTGAAAGATTCATATGGTTTGATGACCATCAAACTCCAATAGTCGTTAACTCTAACTTTGTTCGAATAGAGCGGATATTTCGGATGTTCCGTACCACGACTACAAACCATCATTACATTGAGTTTTTCGTCTTTAACAAAACGACGACAGTAGACGTAATCGCGATTGGAAAAAAGTTTCGGCCATTGCATTTCCCAATAGATAACATGTGAATTGCTATTAGGCCGTGGATCTTCTTCTATCATTTTCAACTGTATAGCAGTTTCATCCCACAGTCGACGATATTCTAAGTCAGTCTGTACATGGAGAAGCTCTTCGGCGGAAATATCATCAAAGCGAGCGTACACCTTATAGGAGTACATCGTCGATCTTTCCTCGCGCCTCCAAACAGAGAATTCATCCTTGCTAAAATATGGTTCCCATAATTGTTCACTAACGGTTTCTATTAATTTATTTCCTATAGGTACAGAGTCCCTTTTTAAATTCAGTGGTATTCGGCAGTTACGCATACTTTCTTGTCCATTTTTAGAAGATTTACACTTCTTATTTCCTACTGAGCAATAACAGTATTTCATCTGCTTATCCCGGCATAAAGGACATAACTCGTTATTTGGCAACTGATTTAAAAATTCAAGATCTCTCCGACAAAGGTCAAAATTTTTTAGGCTCAAGCGCTCTTTCTCCCAATTGAATGCTGCCGCTTCAATTGCTGTAGTGATATTTAAGCCAACAGCTCCTACAGCGCTCAACATTATACCTCGTAAAGGCGGTTCAAATTGCTTGTGATAAGATCGAAGCAATCGTTGTAGACCGTTTGAACCATAAACACGGTGGTAAAAGGTAAAAAGCTGTTGGATTCGACGTGAACGTTGCGCCACAATTGATTCGCATTGGTATGACCATGAGCGTAATGTCGCATTTGATCGATGCTTAATATTTATTAAAATACGACCTAACATTTTTAAATTTATTTTTAGGGATTAAATTTTGTTGTTGCTCTAACTTTTGTTGCCGACATGTGACAATCTTTTGTTGTTCTTTTAACTTTCGTTGCTTTAGTTTAGAAGAGCTCCATGGACTTAGTTCTTAATACCGGCAGCGCTATTTATTTCTGGGAGTACTCCGGTCGCTTGCATAACAATGCAACAACAATTTTAATGGATTTGTTTCTAATTTTGTACAAGTTTACTCCACCAGTTTATGTATGACAATGGCATTCATGCCATGCCACTTTTGACGTAAATAACTCCCAATCAAACTTGTTGCTTCGTATATGATAGACATAAAGCACCCACACTTTTCTCGATAGCCTTATACAATAAATACCAAGTATCGTCTATATATAAAAACTTTATAACAATTATCGTTGTATGTGGTAGGTTGTTGAGAAAACAACATATAGCATTGCACAAGTTATAAAAAGTAATGTGGAGAAATGATAAAATAATAAGCACGTGTAGAGTGGAGAAGTAGAGTTTGATCAGCTGTGATTAAGCAACGCAGATTCCGTTGTTGAAATCAAAATGAACGGGTGTTTCAACTATACAAAGCCAAATTAAAAATAGTGTTTAAATTAAGATCAGCTGCATTGACATATATATAACATTTACTATTCATATTATTATACATATTTACCTGTAATAAGCAAAATTTTTTAGACATAATCAACAACCTGTTAAAACCAGAGATATACCATATATATTAAATACCATATATTAGACATAGAATATACGTTCTATGGTTAAAACGTGCATTTTAAATAAAATATGATTTTAGTCACCCTGCATTTTGTTTCCAAATATTCACTGCATTGTTGGCAAAATAGACACAATCAATCAGTCAATCCATGTTTATAATAAAAAGTTCATATAGAGCTACATAATTTTAAAGCATTTCTGTCTAGATTTGCAATGGATTTTGATAAAAAAGTTATATTAAAAGACAGGTTTCATACTGAAGATTTGTTACATGATAAAATCGACTGTCGGAAGTTTTGAGCAGTTTTAATAGTAAGATTTTTAACAACGTGCTCCGTTAGGCTATAATAGATTTGTCGGTGCTTACGTATTCAAAGCGAATAATTTAAAGAATTTTTACAACTAGCCTGCCGTAAAATAATAAATTATACCATGGCTATGCGTCGGCCCCGTATAAAAGCGGCTGCGCTTTTAACGACCAAGCGAAAATCTCGGGATGTCAAATCTGAAATTGGAGTGAAGCTTGCTATTGTTGAATGTTCAGAAGAAATGAATGCAAAGTCAGCTAATCTTCAAGTTGAAAATGTTGGAGATGTTAGAAATACAACTGGTGATAATAGTAAGGATACTAATCTCGCTGAAAGTATTTCTTCTGAACACATAGAAAATAAACACAATGATGATGCAACAGAACTAAAATCTAAAGGCTCCAATATTGTATCAACGCAGCAAAAATCTTCCGCTAAAATATTAGAAAATAATGAAAGTAATGAAGTTTTTCAAGATAAGATAGAAAATAAGTTAGAAGAATCTGATTCTTCATTTAAATGTCCTGCTCGTGTCGAATACATACGGAGTAATAGTCTAACTACTGGAAATACGGGCACCGATGATGTTTTCTACTGCGATATGGAGGAGAGTATTTTACAGTCGGATATGCAAAAAACTGCCAGTGAATGTGCTCCAATGCCTTCAAAGCAACAAGTGCGGCAAAGAATACGTCCTATTCCAACATTTCCTAGGCGTAATAGTTTTGTAGGTATAGGCAGTCCTTCACAAAGCTCATTAGACGACGCAACAGGTTTGTCTACATATCCGCTTTTTTTGGCTTATAATGAGAATAAATATTTGCCATTTACTTAAAAATATTTTTACAGTGCCTGTTGATATACCAATAGATCATATAAAACCAATTCTGGTAGCAGAGTCATTGGAAACAACTAATTCACAAAAAGTGCAACCATTAACGCACCGGAGAGAGCGTCATTATTCAGCTTCAATGGCTCAATCACCTCATACTCCGAACTCTGCCATGAGTCAACACCATTATACTCCTCACAAATTCACACCTGCAATGGGGCTTAGTCGTATACGCACAGAATCCAATTGTTCAGCATTTTCAGATACTTTCGTAACAGCACCGAAACTACGTAAAACTGACGAACATAGTACTCGTACTAATTCCAGGCGTGACGTCTCTTTGCGAATTGTAAATGGTAATTTAGATAAATCGTCATTAAAAATGTTTGATTTAATTTACTACAACCCTGTCACAAATCCCATGGAGAAGCGAAATACAATTTCCACCATTAAGAAAGAAACTACAATAGATGAAAATGATACGAAACTATCAACCCCAGAGTCAAAAGTAGAAATAGGTGATGGAACAAATAACGCTATGCCTGTGCCACAACTTAAGTTGAATGCAAACGGAGATTTAATTCTTGATGAGAAAACTTTAGAAATTGAAACCACTGCAGAGCAAGAGGCACGAAAAGTGCTGGCGAATTCATCGCTTATATTTCTTGATGAAAATACTGGAATGAACGGTTTCTATAAGCGTCAAAAACGCACTAAAGATTGGCCACCGGAAGAGACTATAAAGTTTTATCGATGTTTGCAAACGGTAGGAACCGACTTTTCACTAATGTGCCAATTGTTTCCCAAACGTACCAGACGGGATTTGAAACTAAAATTCAAGAAAGAAGAGCGTAATAATTTAGCGTTAATCAATAAGGCCTTGTTGTATCCAAAGCTTTTTAACATTGATGATTTAAAGACGCAGCTAGAGACTGAAGAAAAGGAGCGTGAAGAAGCGATACAGCGTTGGAAGGAAATACACGAAAAAGAAGCCAAAACCATTAAAAAGGTTGTACGATTTTCTGTTTTTGTATTTTCTTCATAATTTACATTTTAATTTATAAAAAATATTATCTCCAAAATATAGGTAAAAATCAACAGCAGTACAGCGGCGCGGGCACTCAAAAACGGGGACGATATATATGAAAATGAAAATGTTGTAAAGCGAAAGCTTAGTCGTCGATCCAATGCTACTGACAAGCAAAAGACTGATAGCGGTAAAAAATCAAGAACGTCACAAACCCAGCAAACACTTTCTGGTACCAATGGAACAGAAGCAGTACCACAACAAACACAGAAAGTTAAAACAAAACAAGGTGTATTGCATAATAATTCTGAAGAAGTATTGTCAAGTCAGCCCCAAGGTATCCCACTGCCGTTGCCAACGCAGCCAAGTGATGTCGCATCTGTAAAACTTGAGGTTGTACATGCACAAAACTATACGATTAAAGCAGAACATCCCACTAATGAAAGTAATTGCTTCAACACTGAAATGCCTTCGACAAACGTTGAAAAAAATTTGGAAGTGCTGAGCAACTTAGATGCAATGGCAGAGGAGTTTATTAACATTATAGCACCGACAAGCTGCGATGCAACGCAACATTTGAATGAAATAATAACACCAACTAAAAAGAGTTGTTCACAATCTTCTGCAGCAGTTGAAAATAAAACATTTGTCGATTTAGACAATGGAACGGTAAATACGGTAAATACGTTACAAGGAGAAGAGGAAAGTGTGGCGGTGTTGGATGCGATGCCTGCCACACCGTCTTCAATTTCGCAACGAGAAGTAGACGAGTGTGACATTCAGCAAATATTAATGGATTTGGCGGATGGTTCTTTGGTTCTCGTTTCCACGTTAGATCCCGACAACGCAGATCAAGTGGTGAACGAAATTTATATGATGGATAAAGTTACTGGGGAATTGTGTGAAAAGCCGTTAGATATACCGGAGTCAATAGTGCAGTGCGTTTTGTCTGTGATGAACTAAATGTATATTGATGAAAAGTTGGTGACGTACATGGTACAAATAAGGACTTTTGTATTACTATGTTGATGAGTGGTGAATTTGCCTCAAAGTTTCTCTTATGCATTTTGATTGTTCCAATACATTTGCTATAGATATTTGTATTAAGTTTTTTTTTATTTTTATATTTATATTTTATGCGTATATGTCGAAGTTTTGTATTGTCAAATAAAAAATACAGTGAATTATAATAATGGAAAACTAAAAGTTAAAAACTGTTTTTTTTTTTTGATGTTACATACATATTTTTTTTAGATTAACCAAAGGCTAAGCAGTTTTCAAAACATCTATGAGATGGATGTGTATGTACATTCTACGAGCTCTTGGTATTCGACTAACCGGATTAATCGGATAGGGCATTATTCGAATAATAATATTTGCTCTATCCGGATAGCCGTAAGTCGTCGACTAATTGATCAACCATTCATTTTCGATTATCTGGTTAACCGTTCGTTGTCAACTATTCGAACAGTAAGAGTTAATTCATTTTCTTATTTTTATTAAAAAAAGTGAAACATTTAATAATAAAATTGTATGCACAAATCAAAGGCTGCTTTGATTTCAAACAATTTTCATTTATTAAAATACTCGCAGCAGAGCAGAGCAGAGAGAAAAGTATTATTCGGTTAATATTCATACGAACGGTTACAAACCGGATATTCGAGTAATCGGTTCCCAGGTTATTCGAATAATTTTAAGAGCCCTAGTACATACTTTTGTACATATGTGTTCAGAGTTTCAGTTTTTAGTACGATATCTTAAATATATAAATTTTTGTGCCGTTTGGAAGTGCGATTTTTATGTATTTTCAGATCTGAATAAATGAATCTGTTTTGACCATAATATTTTTAGTACGACATTTATTATTGGCTTCGATGCTAACTCTGATTTATACATAATAATAATAAAATGTAATTTAAACTCGAATTTAGTTTTTAAACTTTATCGTATCTTATGTACACGTAGTCTGCCTTCAAAACCAACCGTTAAAAGATCTGAATCTCCGCGCCAAACTGCGTCACGCACGAAATTCTCCGACTCGCCATTTTCGTAGATCGTAGTATTAAAATTCTCATCCACTATCTTTATTAAATTTGTATCACCAATGACAGCAAACATTTTTCTAATAATTAAACAATATACAACATTTTCTTTATTCAAAACATGTTCTACTTACCCTTTTGGCACAAGTTTATGAATTGGTCTGTTCAAGTATTTGAAGCTCTGCAAAAATTCTTTTGGCACACGTGTATCAATTGTGTGCACAAAACCCGACTCGTCACCAAGATGTAACAAGTGATCACTGCTTTCTGCCCATGCTAAATTATTAAAACGCGTTGAGTATTTCTCATACAGAGCTATAATAAAATATTATTATATTGTATGCAAACAATAATAATTAATTATTTGCCTATTGCAGGTCTCGTTAATCGATCATCCCAAAGTAAGGCACTTTGATCAAATGAGCAGGTAGCAAATACTGATGCATCTGTGTTTGAAGCTGCAACACCCGTAATTACGTCTGTGTGTGCATACCGAAATGTGTGTATGGAAAATAGATCAGCAGAACCCATATCCCAGACCTTAAAAAAAAGATCAATCAAATAGAACTCAATTAGAAATAGCTAGGATATTTACTTTTAAAGTGCCATCCTTGCTGCCGGTAGCCGCATGATCTACATTCTTCATTACATCCAAACAAGTAACAGGTCGCACATGCTCACATTTTTCTCCAATCAGGAACATACAGTACGGTATTTGTGGATTACGCACCTCCGATCTTGTAGACCATACCTGTACGCGACCCGAACGCAACGCAACAATGAACTACAAATTAAAATACATAATACATTTATTATACGGAAATCTTTAAGATTATTTAAACCTACAATATTATCCGAAACGAATCGCAAACAGGAGACTAACGTTTGACATTGTAGTTTGTACGCAGCTTTCGATGGCTTCAACATACCGCCGTCACCAATCTCTTCGAAACCCCACAGAGATCCTGACCATTCACGTCCCGATAACTTATTGGTAGCTATAACTGCCTCTTGTTCCGAATTAATTGATATGCATTCCCATGCTTTGTGCATACGAATATGTCGGTTAAGCGGTCGCTTGGCATAATCTCGTGAATTCAGATTTGGGTAATATGTATTGCCTGCGAGACTGATGTCATCTGGTGGCTGATGTTGTTCGGGTGTACGGAATATCACACCATGCTTCGTAGGAAGCATTTCTGGTATATATATTTTATAAACACTAAATTGGATAACGAAAGATCACGACCGAAGAAATAATTTTCATTGAGCAGTTGTTTTGATTAATATTTTTAGAGGTTATAATAGCCGGCAAAACTTAGTAGTTGCCAGATTTATGAAACTTTAGAATTGCCTTATGAGGATTTAAAAGTCTTGTGTGGTAAACTTTTTTGTTTGACAAGATATCTACACGAATTATCGGCACGGATTATTGCCCAAGGCAATGGTAAGTTCACTGAACAAATTCTGAACATACCACTTTATCATATAACTGCCGTACATACTGACTGATCAAAATCAAGTTCTTGTATGGAAAGTTTTTGTTTGGCGATATATTTTCACGATATTTGGCATGAATTATTGCCCAAGGCCACGGTACATCCTCCGAAGAAACTGTTCAGATCATAATACCTCCTTAATACCTATACAAACTTATTTTGAAGACTGTAAATCACGTTCTGTTATAATACAGTAAATATACCTATACGTTTCAAATAAGCATATCCATATACTAAAACAAAAACAAAAAATTGAGGTTTTTATTTCTATATTTATATTGATGGATGATATAAAAAAGTTTAAATTCTTCATAATAAATTATCCTGCAACTGGCACTGTAATGTTTTGAGCGTATTTCGCAGTTGTTCAGTATCAGGCTTTTGATAACAGAAACTTAAACAAGTCGATACAATGTCCTGCGCTTTTCCAACAATGCGCCCTTTAGAGCGGTTCCACATAGACCGAATTTGTCCACATAACAAGGTGACAACGCGTATGGAAGATTGCACCAAATGCCATTCATTTCCTTCATTTGCCCAAACACGTTCGTTCATTGAAATCATACGGAAGTAGTATTCCATTAGAAGATCAATATCTATATTCATAGCGACCAGCTTGTCAGGTACAATGCCCTCTGGAAAACGAAGTTGACAAGCCTTCAATTCAAGCTCACGTATAATAAACGCTAATGGGAAACAGTGACCGGATTCTCGAAACTCCTTAACCAGCGATTCTATCTTGGTGAATAAACGTGTGCAACGTTCCTGTGTAGTACCTACGCCGTCAACAGCCTTATTAATAATCTGACTCCAAACTGTTTCAATTAACAACGGATCATTGTGATGCGAACAGTTTAATATGGTTAGTTTACATTCCCACAAATCGAACGGATCAGCAAATTGTTGATAAAGTTGTGTAATATCGTACAACGTATAATTAAGCTTTTCTATAGCTTGCAATACATTGTGATCCGGTGTTACATATGAGGAAAGTGTATCCAATATGCACTTTTGAACTCGTGCAATTTCGAGTTTATCCTCTAATTCTTTTAGCAAGATACCATTGGCAATCGAAAACCCCGAACTATCGTTGCGCATGCACATTACTGCCCGCGCTAGATATTCAATACGTTGATCCAGAGATATGGATTCACTTTCAATACTTGCTAAATTGTCTAAAATATGTGCAGCTTCTGCATGCCGACCATTCTTTTCATAGTATTTCCACAAGAGATCAACTAGATTTAGATTTCCCGGATTATTTACCACATTTCGGCGCAGAAATTCTCCTAAGCTTGGCTCTGGCAACGCTAACAACTCTGAAATCATATCATGTGCCATCAACCATTGATATATAGTTATATGCAGTAATGGGTCTTTTATTTGTATAGCCAAACTCACTAATTTTCGTATTTGCACGCTAAAACTATTTTCGTTGGTATCACACATTTGTCGTTGAAATTCGAATTCTTGTGTTTCATTAGCATTACAATGATTCTGATAGACAGTCTCTAACATCGAACGGACTTCTTTATAGCATGACATGCGCGCGGAGTACGCAGTGTAACCCTCAGAGTCTTCGGTGGGCTCATCACTTTTATAATAACGGATACCATATTCTTCTGGATCAATTTTTGCTGCACAAGTTGCAGTTAATTCGATAACCCCTTCACCAAAACCGGCAGTTGAAAATTGTTGGCAAATATTTTGTAGAGGTAAATTAGGTGCGGCATCCTTACAAAGCTGTAGAGCCGTACTAAGTTTTTCATGCTTTCCCTCAGAAGCTTCACAACTTTTAGCCGACAGTAATATTTCAGTAGCTTTAAAAGTGACAGCATCTTCGTGACGATACAAATTGGGACACACTTCGCGCAATTTGGCTGATATTATGCTGACGCTTGCATTATCTTTGAGATATGAATTGATTAAAGCAGCTATTAGTAAAGCACACGATTCGGTGCGAGTAAGTGTAAGATCTCGAAATGTACAGGAACTTAATGTCGTTTGTTCTTCCTTAGGCAATTGAGAAGCAAGTACTTGAAACTGATGTTCACATAAAATTTTCCACAGCGACATTATTTCGCACACTTGTTTAACCAATTGATATAAAGCACTCAGCGATTGTTTCTCTTCGTTTTGTGCTTTTTCTGTGACAGTTCTTTGATCGTGTGGTGTTAGTTGATTGTGAGAGGATAACATATGACTGTAACCATTTGAAATGTTCGATTGAGTGGAGTAGGTATTACGTGTGAATCCAGATAACTCATTTACTGTATAGGCATCCATAAATACTTTAAGCGAAAACAAATCTTCTAAAATCAATGTACAATCGGCCTGCGTTAATGTACTGCATAAATTTGCGTCCACACAACGTTTCTTCCATATTGGACGAAGTAAACGAGCAACATACAAATATAAACCATCATGTTTTGCAGAATATATTACCGTGGAGTAGTCATTGACAATCAAGCCATCATGACCTGCATCTTGACCAGTTATGGGACTTATTGGATACTGCGACTGTTGCATTGAAAGTGGTAAAGGTGGTGAACGTGTTATTTGGTAGCCACCACCACTATGTGGCATCGGCGTTGAGACAAACATTTGCGGCGAGTTACGGTCAATACCATGATGCGCAATATTTAATGGAGGATTCATA